ACTCCTAGTACTGACATTCATATCTGGGATGTGACTTCTAACAGGACTGAAGATTTCTGCATTAGGGCTTAGCTGCGGGGTCTGGAAGGGGCTTGCCATTTTCTGGGGCTGATTAAGTCGATGGTTAATGTTTCATCCTTGAATAAAAGACAAAAATCATCCTTTAATGTATCTAATTCGCTTTTGAATTTACAAATGTTTTCCATTTGTACTTCTTGCCACTGTTGTAGTCTCTCTTCTTGTTTATTTTCTTTCTCCTCCAATAGCTGTTGTAATCTCTCTTCTTGTTTATTTTCCTGTTCGAGCTGCCACTGTTGCAAGTTTTCTTGCCACTGCTGTAATCTCTCTTCTTGTTTATTTTGCTGTTCGAACTGCCACTGTTGCAGGTTTTCTTGCAACTGCTGTAATCTTATTTCTTGTTTATTTTCTCGTTCTTCTTGTTTCTTTTCTTGTTTATTCTCTCGTTCTTCTTGTTTCTTTTCTTTTTCCTCTAACAGTTGCTGTAATTTCCCTTCTTGTTTCTTTTCTTTTTCCTCCAAGAACTGCCTGTAATTTCTCTTCTTGTTTCTTTTATTTTTCCTCCAAGAACTGCTGTAATTTCTCTTCTTGTTTTTTTCTTTTTCCTCCAAGAACTGCTGTAATTTCTCTTCTTGTTTCTCTTCTCGTTCTTCTTGTTTCTTTTGCTGTTCTTGTATTGCTGCCATCAAATCTGCTAAGCTGTAGTTTGATTTGCAGCTTTTCGTTTCCATTTTTTTTATCCCACTTCTGACATCAATTTGTTACATCTCGGTTCGTTAGTTAATTTTCCGTAAATTCGTTCCTACAAAACTTTAGGACACAAGTTGTTTCTTAAATAAAACTGGTTTATTCTTTCTGAATATAACTTTGCATACACTTAATTTCAACAGTCGCGCTAAAACAAGCGCTATAACTCACGTCTCACGTGGCCAACAATATTTTATCTGCATACATTCAATTACTCATTACTTTGACTGCAGTTCAATTACTCATTACGTTGACTGCAGTTGAATTACTCATTACCTCTCGGTCACTTCGTGGCCGGTCTTATATATACAAGACTACACTATAAGTAGAAAGATCACGAGATTTAAGGAAAAGACGTGAAAGTTCGAGAATGACGTGGCGTGATACTAGTCACGTGATCTCAATGTCGTAACAATATATATATGAATATATATATAATTGTGGATACAACATTTCGGGCATTGCCCAACTTCAGGTATCACTAATTGAACAGTAAATCCGTAAACGAAAACATTCTGCTGGATATTGAGATATAGATTGGAGTAGAGTGTTAGTTCAAATAGTAAATGAGTATTGAATAAGAGTTATCGCATTTGTTTTGTTATTTAGTTGCTTGGTGAGTTACGTGTTTGATTATTCAACAAAACTAGTAGTTAAGTTAGGCGTGCGTCTCGCAGTTTATATTGAAGCATAGAATTTTAGGGCAAACCTACACTGATTAAGTTGTGGAGTTAGCATTCAAACGTTTGTGTAGTTAGATCTATAACTTGGTAGTGAACATGGCTCTATAAACATAACAAACAATAAGAAGGAATAGACTAATTTGCTATTTATACGTGGACTGGACACATTATAACTACTAATAATATTCCAGTTGTTTTGAGGATCTTCATGTATTACAAAATGACTTGGAGTAATTGGTATGATGAAGAAATACTTGGTAAATGACTTTCAATTTTACTTTATAAATTATAATTAGTGCATAATATCATAATTTGGATCACGTGTAATTAATACAGATGTGAACTAACTCAATAGAGTGACTGTAGAAGGGACCTTGATATATTTGTGGATAAGTCACTCAAGCTATCAACCAGTATTCTGTTGTAAGTAGTAGTAGTATTTTAGAATTTTAGGGTGTATTTATAAACATTATTTCAAAGTCAAGAGGCAGTTTTCTTTCTATACATTTCACTAGTTAAGCCTCACTTGGTATACTATACACAGTTTTGATCTCCTTATTTAAGAGAGGATTCAGAAAAGGGCTACTTGGGATGATTCCAGAAATGGAATGGTCACAGGAATAGGTTAAGAACTCTTTTCTTTTCAAAAAGATGTTAAAAATTAAAGGATGATGATATTGAAGTTACAAGATCATCAAGGTTATCAATGATACAAAGGTTTTTGATTTTTTTATGCTGTATTCTGAATATGACAGGAGAATGCAATTTTAAGACTATGAAAATACAGACTAGTATAGTTTTATTTTATTAACAGGGTTACTAACTTATGGAATGAGTTTGTGTCAGCAGTAGCAGAGGCCAGCAATTTACAGGAGTTTAAGAGGGAAGTCAATGATTTCCTGAGAAGCAAAAAGTGAGTTTTAAATTTTTACTCTTTCTGAGGATGAGTGTGAAAAGACAACTGTGAAGGCCCAAATGGTCTCTTGGTGTTCATAGGATATGCTAATTCAGAATTTCTATTAATATTTACATGTTTATTGTTGCACATAACAACTGTACAGTACATACCAAGTATTAAGTTTCAAATAAGATGCTTAAATATTAGTAATAGATTAGATAAAAACATTGAATCAATTAACTTTAAAAACATTATTGGTTACTGAGAAGTCTGATCAATTAAGGTACTTTGGTAAGCTCACAAACAATGTGTTAGTTTTTAAGTGACTTAACAATTTCCAATCACAAGAAGGTTTCTTGCCACTGAGTAGAGTCTGGGATATTATGTCATGTAAAACTGTCTGCATAGTGCTTATATGATATAAAGTAGTAGTGAAAACTTGACAGATTAAAATAATTTAATTAATAAAACAAGAAAACAACATTTCAGGGCAACAGCCCTTCATCAGGTTACTAGTGACAATGAATTGATCATTTATAGGTTTTTTGACACAACAAATCTACTGGTGGCATTGTTTTGTTGATTGGAGACATGTTTTATACTCTTATGGCAAATCTGACAAAATATGCAGCTAAGACTATATAAAGAATGGGTATTTTAAATTTACATGCTTCTTTTTTTTTGTCTTTCAAAATGAACATTTAAAATAATCAATATCCGGTTTATTCTAAAAAGTTGAACAAATTGCACTGAGTATAGTGTAGAGCATGTATGTTAACTTCAACTGAAACTTTTGAAAGTGTAAAACTAATTAAGGTTAAGCATTTATTAAGTACACCCCCATATCCTAACTTGATGTTTAATGTATTTTCAGAACAGACATCATGAATAAGTGTGTATTTGATAAAATCAGTGCCTGCTAAAATCCAAACAAGCTAATCTCAATTTGCACACAACAAAAAATCACAAACATTCATGCAAGCAAGCTTAAGAGATGATAACCTGCATTTGCATATAGACAGAAACTTTTGTGATGACCCTAATTATACTGTATGTTGTCACAAAAACTATGTATCATCATCTACTTCGAAATCACACCTTAGGAGACTAGGAAAAATAGACACTTGATCTGCCTCACCAAATCCTAAAGAAAAACGGCACTGTCGTTCTGATAATCAAAGTTTTTACTTCAAAGCACATTCTTGTTTTGTGTCAAATCGATAAGAAGCACCCAGATAGTCAAAAGCATGTAGTTGTGTGTACTACAGCAGACCATGAACACTATAAAACATTAAAAAAAGACATATTGGTTGCATGAGTTGCTCATGGGGATCAGTGGGTACATGAGGTGTCAGTGAGAGTACAAGGATCAGTCAATGACTTGCATGCAGCAGATGCTGGGTATCACTATGATTGTAAAACCAAATTTACTGCACCAAAGTCAGTACAACTTGCATGTATAAGTAGAGCAACAGCTCAAGAGCCAACATTAAAGGAATAAATGTTTGACCAGCTCATGTCCTCAGCTCCCACTGATGAAACATTCTTCCACATGAGCATAATGAGAGCACGTTTGTAAGCATGTATATGGAAACATGCATTAGAAGCCAGTCCTCCACCCATTGACCCTACATTATTTAACTGGTTGAAGGTTAAATAATGGTTAATGACACAACATCCTGCAATATTTCCATCTGGCATACTACCTTCTCCAGAATCTATACTCGAGTTGGTAAAGTGTACTTCTGCAAGGTGCACTTTGTCAAGATGTTCATGTTATTCAGCTATGGTGCCATGTGCAATATTCTGTGGTTGTGAAGGTGGATCAGACTGTGTCAGTGAGCATACTAAAATAAATATGCAAGGTATTCCAGATGAAGAGAACTAAATGAATGTTATAAACTTGTATATTCACATGGTGTCCTTTTTTTTCTTTATTTTGTAGGGGTATACTGGAGTATACTGCTATTGGGGTTGTACGGTTGAGGTATTCACTGTACTGTTATTGTGTGTTTTTAATAATAGTTTTATTTACTTATCACATGTGTTATTTAAATGTAAAATTTTGTAACAAAGCATGAAGTGTTTTGCAAGAAATCCATGTAATAAATGTCATTTGGTTTATTTTTTTAGATTTAGTCCTTTGTTTCATTGCAGAAAAATTCAACATTTTTTGTCAGACTCACCATAAGAGTATAAAACATGTTTCCAATCAATACAATGATGCCACCAGTAGATTTGTTGTGCCCAAAAACCTAGAAATGAACAGTTTATTCAACATTCTATCACAAATTATATATCACTAAATATTTCACAGATTAAATGTAAATGCATATAATTCCACAGACTTCTTTCTACTCCCATAGTGTACACCCCTTTGTATGATACTTGTGTGTTTAAGTTTGATGCAAAATTATTCATCATTGAAAGATATTTTTGACAATCTTAATGTGCTGTAATCATTATAACTAAAATAAATTGCTGGTGTTATTATGAATGAAATACATATTTTTTTAATTTTGCTACTGATCATTTTTTAAATGTTACTAGCATTTTCAAATAATAATGTCCTGATGTTTGATTCACCTTGTATCTTTGATAGCTCATTAAAAGTTCATACCTGTTATTTATGAAATAGATTTTATAAATATTTGAGTTTGATACCACAGTGTATCAGTGAAAAGAGAATATAACAGTTCCTAAAAGGCTTAGCATGTTCAACAGATGCTCTTTTTTTTGTGGTAGAAGTTAAAAAAAAGCACTAAGGAGGAATATGTAATACATAAGGATTTGGCTAAGCAGGAAATATTCATGATATTATCAGTAGCATGTTGTAGATGAAATGCATACATGCTTAGTAGTGTTTCAAAAGGAAGTTGAATAGCAAGGTTCAGAAATACTATGCACCCCTCCACAGAGCTAAAGACCATTGCTTTATGCATCTGCTGAGAAGGTTTTCTACACTTTACAAACCCTGAACAAAACTCTCACCCCTGTGTTTATTAACATAGATTGTGCTAGCCTATGAAGTAATTATCATTAGACTACAGCCCTCCACTAATAGGAGGGTGATACTTCTTTTCCTTAGATTTTCAACCAGCTTAATACCAGATGCATGCTCACTTTTCTGTACCTTACTGTTTAACTTTCCTATATACCACACAGAACAGTTTGCTGATCACTTGATTTTTTATATTATCTTGTAGCCATGACTCACTCTTCCTCTTTGTAATGTTGACTGGCAGTGGGAAGATTAGAACAATAAGAATACGCAGAAGAGAAAAGTAATATTGGAGTTCAACCAGTCCTTGGAGTGCACCTGATGTTATATGGGATAAAATAATAAAAAAAAACAGTTTTACATTAAATTGTTATTTATTTGTACTGAATAACCTGTACTGAATTTTTACTAAAGTGAAAATGCAGTAATGGGTAAAAAATTTCTTAGGATTCAAAGAGAGGTATGCTGGGGTTCAAATAAAACATCCCATATATGGACCATATGAATTATTTTGGTTTGCATTGAACAAAAAACAAAAACAACGTATGTTAATGTAAAATAAACAAGGAATGTTGTTTCAAAGTATTTTAATACTGCATGTAAATAAAAGTAGTTGCTGGCATTGATATTGTCCATGAACTCCAATGGTTCATTAAAATAGAACAATTTAAAAGGAAGGAACTGAGTCAGCTGTGGACCACATTAAACAGAACAATGTTTTGTAGTCTGCAAAAGTGGTGGCATGCAAAAAGGTTCAGTCCTCATTTTTACATTTTGGTATGCATGCTCACTGATGGATCACTTATTTGAAGCCCTAAGTATATTGATTTCAAGCACATTTTTTCAATTTCAGTTAACATTTGAAAAATGCCATTATCATTATCTTAGTTAAAAATCATTTTAGATTATTTTGTAATTTATTGTAAAGCAGAAATTTCATGTAACTGGATAACTATTCCAAAAATCAAAATATAATGTTGAGTTTTATTAATACTCTTCTTTCATTTAGTCAGTAATTAACAGTATTCAAATAAAAAAGGACATTATGTTCAGTAATCACCCTAATGTTTAAGTCAGAATACTTTTACTTTTTTTTGGAACTGGTGATCTTGTGTACCTTATAGCAAGATAAAATGAACTTGGAAAAATAAAGACAGATCACTTGCAAAACTTGGAAAATTTGTGTGTTTTTCACACTAACATTATGTAAAATTATGAGAACTCAGACACACTGAAATAAGGTGTGTAGAAATTGGTAATTTAAGGCAATAGAGAGAAAAATAAATTAAAACTATTATTCTTCCCATTATGAAAGTGTGTATAAAATCATTATTACATTGTTTTTGGTGAATTTCTAATCACTTGTGGTAATTTATAGATTTTGATGTAATACTGATGAGATCAAATTATTCACTTTGTTAAAATTAATCAATTATGTATATGTTTACTCTGTGTATTGAGCCAGATTTGAAATGGTGTTAAAGGTGGAACAGTCAACAGGTTCAACTCAGCATTGGTAAGTTTATAAAAACATTTCTTCAAATATACACTATTTTCAATTATTTTTCAACTTTTTACTTATTGTTTAATTTTTATAATAATATTAGATCTTTTCCAAAACCTGTACAATAATTCTTATTGGGGTGCAGTAACAGTAGTGTTTGTACAAAAATTATATAATAAACTATAGAAAAATGTAAAAAAAAGCAGTTTTAGAAAAATAACTTTCAAGCAAACTGAAAACACCTATTTATCAAAGGTTGTTGCAATAAAATAAACAACAATTTGCAATGTATTTCAAATTGCAAAGCTGTTTTTTTCACAATTATTATAATGATACTCAGTTTTTGTCTGTCTTGAAAATATGTGTGCATCTTACTATTGTTATGTATCTGCTTGTTTGTTAATTTCTGGTAGAAATTCTTTCTGACGAACATCAGCAATATGAGTCCTTTCTTGATTAAACCAGTTTATTCTTCCTCGATACAAACTTTTAGTACACAGTAGTTCCACAATCAGTACGTTTCTCGTCACTTTAAACTTAACAACTTTTATAATACATGCAAAAAATCACAGCGATTCACAATCTATATCTCCACTGGCTTTCTCTGCCAGGCTCATATACTAACGAAGAGGCATCTCCAAAAATTGCGGACTTTGCTGATAATTCGAGGTACTCCTCACTCATGCCACCAGCGTCACGTGACTTCCGCTGTCGTAACACTGCCCCTTCCTTAGTATTGTTCGTCCCAAACAATAGCCACTTACATTAAACCAATAGATAATTAACAATAACTTAATTAAATGTACAGAATTTACAAACACAAAATTAAAATACAACAAAGTATCTTAATTTTACAGGACGTATCTTCTTCCGTACTGGTCTCCATCTCATTGGCTTCTGCTTCACGTGAGGTTCCTCTGCTCCATCGGGAATTGTCCTATCCTCGGTAACAGTCACAAGAGTGGTAGTAACTTCATCAAGGGTTTCACTGTTTCCCTTCTCAAAACCGAGTAGAGTTTTTTCTTTGACAGTGGCTTTTCCAGGTGACACGTCCTCAGCGGCATCTTTTGTTCCATTATTCACTTCGTCCCAACTGAAATCTCCTGGACCATGATAATGCCAAAGCCTGTTGGCATGCACCACCTTTGGCTTACCTCGCCGACCACATTTTACTCGGAAAGTCATGTCTCAGAGACTATCCACTATGTCATATGGGCTTTCCCATGGATAAGACAACTTAGGAGACTTCCCTTTGGTCTTCATGATATTATACAACCACACCTTGTCTCCTGGTACAAAGCTGACTTCAGTAGATCTCTTATCATAACATAGCTTCATGGAATCAGCAGACGTTTTCAAGTTTGAACGCACTTGATGGTGAATATCATCCATCCTTCCAGATAACACTTTCACGAACTCTGGCACATTTTCAGGCAACTCTTCGTAAGGTGGGCGTCCTGTTATCAGGTCCACTGGCAACTACAAATTTAAATTCAAATGAATATAAAAAAATCACAAACTCTTTGAGTTCAAAGTCCTAAGTCTAATTCATGTAAAGACTTTGCACTCGCCACTCGGTAACTCTTAACCCTAACAATCGTGGATCAACTTCTTTCCTAAAAATATATATCTATTTTGAGTTAAGTTTTCAATATAATGATTAATATAAACAGATATACCATGCAGCATGACTTAAGCTACATGCAGTTTTTTCCAGAAGTAACTTTTCTAACGCTTATAGAAAAGCCCTATTGGCCAGCTAAATACAACCTCTACATAAAATGGCAGTTACTATAATAAGCACCACCCACATTCATATTATAAAATCCAGAGAACAACGTTTCATCACGTGCTTTCCTTATCATCCTATGATTGGGGAGATACAGCAATTGGAATAATTGGTACTGAAATTGACACTTTCGACTAGGATTGGCTAAAAGTTTTACAACTGAGGTTTAACATGCCTAGACGCAGTTTTATAAAGAAAACAGACTAGAAAAAGGTTTAGATACCAATCATAGATGGCAGGACCAGTGCTGAGGTGAAAGGAAATATCTTAAAAAAAATTTTGAAAAACATTTCTTCTTAGAAACGATTCCCACTGTCCCTATCTACTATCTAGCGAAACCAGATCATCTGTCCATCAACATTTGAATACTTTATTAGGTGTGTATTTATGAAGAGTGTACTTATTATTACAAATTATTTCTAACTCGTTTTTATGTTCAATTTGTACTTCTTTTACTTTGTTAATTGTCTATTTTTTTTCAGTTTCTGTATTTTATAGTTAGTGTTAATTCATTTGAAGGCTTTGCCAGCAGTGCAAATTGCAGTGTAAACCTTCCATAAAATCCTACAAATCCTTCAATCCCTCTAGTTTTACACTGCTAAATTAGGGACAGCTAGCACAGATAGCTGTTGTGTAGCTTTGCATGAAATTCAAATTCTTTTTTTATTTGCAGTCTAAAACGTATTTTAGGAATTTTT